TTCGTCGACGCTAACGGGGAAATAAAGAGGGTCACCTACTCGTCGTCAAACGGAACAGGCTTTAAAGCAACGACGCTATCACCATTGCAGGAACAAGTATCAGTAGTCCAGAGTATCCCGCGTTCAAACCGGAGTTCCAGTACGAGAAAGCCGACGGTAGTTTACGCAACATCGACTGAATCGTCGTCCTCTTCGTCAACGGCGAAGCCTTCCTCGGTTGTCCAAACGATACCACGTGGTCGAAAGACTACAACGACCTCTAGCACAACGACAACCACCGAAGCACCACGACCATACGTCCACTACAAAACCTTGAAGAGCCGTCCGCGCTACTTCATAAACGGCCAACAGCGTCCGTCATCGGTTTCCGTGGAAGAGGACTCGACCGAGGATTCGCAGATTAATCGTCCGAGTACAGAGGAGAAGGCTTCGTCCTACCGCAGAATCCTCTTCGCAAAGCGACCGGTGGACCACAACCTGCGCCCAATAACGGAGGAGTTTGAGGAGAAAGAGGAGGAGCCGCGAGCCAGTGGAAATGCTCTCCGAAGACAGCTCCAGGATGACACAACGAAACCGGAGGTGCACGAAGTCCACGAAGCGCCGGACGAGCACTCCGACGTCTACGGCGGCGCACTTTCGACGACAAGACCGCTCTTCACCACGAGTAGTCCTCCTCGCATCCTCCAGAGGCTGCGAGCGGACCGTCCTAAGCTCTACCAAGTGACACCGCCACCCCAGGAAAACGTCGGACCGGCTCGTTTCGACACCTCAAAGTACGAGACCACGAGAAGCTACGAAATGCAAACCAAAGTGGCTGAAGAGCGCGAAGAACGCGAGTCAACGCCACCCATTGTTTTCCGTCCGTCCACGAGAATGCCGGACAGGGACTACATCCGTCAGACTACTGAGTCCGTCTTCGTTCGTCAACCACCGGAGCAGATCCTCCGGGACATATCGTCCGGGCTTCTGGTACATCAGAATATGGAGGAGGACGGTTACCGCGGAGTTCCCGTCGGAAGAATCCTGTACAGACCGAGACCGCCGATCTACCCAACAACGACGGACGCCAACGTGCAGTACCTGACGGAGAACCCGATCGCCGAGCCCGACCCTAGACTCAATCCGAATTACATACGACCGAGACCTTATCACAGACCTTTACCCTATGACGCCGAACAGAGGGGACGACCTGTCCTTAGACCCGACGACCGGGAATACGATTATCCTTACAGGAACATCGCCCTTCCGCCGGAAGCACCAAATCCCATAGCCCCTCCCCTCAGTCGACGGGATTTCCAAATCCTTTTGCGGCGACTCCTCATCAGCCAATATGGACCGCAAGCTTTGACGTACCCCAGGACCTACCTGGAGGACGCTCTGTACGACCAGACGCCCTACCCGACGTACCAGACAGGCTATCAGGTGCCGGGACGTCAGCTGATCTACGAGCCTCACGTGGCGTCAAATAGGTTCGGGGATCGCGTTCCTCTCCGTCCAGCGCTTTCTAGACCGGATCCCGGAATCTACCAGTCCCCCAGGTACCCGGAGGACTTCCAGGACTCCAGGTACGCGAAACGTGTCTACCGGCAAAAGTTTTACACCCAGGAGATGGGAGACGAGCCTGAGGGCGACGGGGAGGAGATCCTTCCTCCGCCAATCCGGGAGGCTTTGCTCCTGCGGATGCTTCAGCTGGCTATTCACAACGATCGACCCGTCTCCATGATGACCAGCTCAACAACACCCTCACCCTCCTCCCCGTACAAGAAGGGGCCAGTCAGGAGTGTTCAGATACTCGCGGATGACGACGACAAAGACTTGAGGAAGAAAATTTAACCCGCCGTTAGGTAGGTGCGATATTTATAATATCTCAAAAAGGAGATCTGGAAAAATTCTGGAAAAAATAATATACACTCGAATCATTCCGATAAACACTTCATCAATACTTCGAGTACATGTAATAATTTTTTTATTACAGATAGACGAAAAATATCGCAAAGGAATTCAAGTCGACTGGCCTGAGTTTTAGCGAATTGAACAGTTCCACGCCTTGAAATAATTCACTTGCTAGACAACTTCCGTTACGGAAGTCATCCTCCATCTTGCTGTAACCCCAACGTATAAATAAGAGTGAAAACGACTATCTCAATCCGTCCGATGGGAAAAATGTGGGTGGAAATAGATGAAATCTCGAAGGTAATTTCACTGTGGGGGAATTATTCGTCATTCTCCTTGATCCTAAGTATTTATAGTCTATGCAGATTTATACAAGGCTATTCCATTCCGATGACGCACCTACATTATAACTGAATCGTGGGAATTGTTATCGTCCTTGGGGAAATCCCAAATTCTACCGAAAGATGAATATATCACTGTAAATATATTATTTTTATTAAACTAGTGTGATAATGAAAATTGATCGAATAAAGTGATGATGGAATAGACACACGAGTTCTCACATTAATTCTGGGAGAGATACTCCATTCGATATCTGAATAGAATAATAACCCAAGTTGTACATAATTAGCAATGCGCAATTGCAACATTCGTTATAAGTCGTTGTACTTATAGCGTCGACGGTGGAACAGACGAAACGTTAGGAAAAAGAGAAACAACGTCATCGCCCCTGGGATCTGGGTGCACGTCGTTTCCACGCATCGGTGATTCCCTGGTCTCAATTCCATTTTGCTGTTTTTTTTT